TTGCACCAACCCCCCACTAGTGATGACGTGCCATTACAATGTATCGCTGGTTGGTGGCCATGTTTGCGTGTTTGCTTGTCGTTAGTGGTCTCTCCACCGTATGCCGTGTGCCTTTTTCTGTCTCTTATTTCTTGTTATTTTTGGCCTGGTCCCTTTTTGTCCTCGCTCTTTTTTATTTCAGTTTCTCTTTCCTTACTGTTTCCTTTTATTTTCTTCTCTTTTTCTGTTCCAGATGGCCTCGTCTCTGCTTGCGTTGTGAAGTACCAAGATTGAACCAAGGGGATGTACCTCTTTCTTTCCGGCCCGTGATGGTGACTGCTAGTCTCAGTTGTTACCTCGCATAGCGCGCAGAGGGAGTGGAGAACTCCAGAATATCTCTCGTTGATTTCTATTGACTTGCGNGAAGGTACTGGGTAGAGAGAGGTTGGAACGGTTTTTAGTGTGGAGACAACAACAACCCTGGAACAGAGAGACGACCAACCAAGAACAACCTGGTAACGTGTGCAGGGGCTTCTTTTTTTTTTCCGTTTCCTTGGCGCCAGGCGTCACTTTAGTCTAAACCGTCTCTTCGGCGCCCTGCTGTTTTGTCGGAAGTATCTACGTTTCCTACATGTCTGGGCGTCAGGGGGACTGCTGAACACAAATCTGACCCGCGGCCGTCCGCCCCCCAGTCGCCTACCGCTGGACTACTTTCAACGCATGGCTCTCGAGTCTTCATTTATTTCAGAGGAAGCAAATGGCTGTTATAGAATTGCAATGAGGGGACAGGTGGTGACAAGCTGATTGGGCTGGTTGACCCTTCGGCGCGAGAATCTTCAGACCGAGAACCCTACGTGCAACGAGGGAGAAAGCGAGGGACCGACTGGGAAGGAAGCAACGAGAGCGTGTATGAAGCGGAGCGGGTCGAGCTTGGTCGTGCTAGGACTGGCCACAGCGGCACCGGAGCAGGCGGACGGCATCGAACCGTGGCGCACGGACAAACATGTCTTGTATTGTCAATTATTTCAAGGGTGTGTTTAGTAGAGTAGAGTATTTTGAGTAGAGTATCGACAGTCGTACTAAAGGTTTAGTAGAGTAGAGTATCGGGAGTAGTACTAAACCTAATAGTAGGTCGAGTAGAGTATCGAGAACTCTACTAAAACTTTAGTAGAGTAGAGTATCGGGAGGAGTACTAAACCTAATAGTAGGGTGAGTAGAGTATCGAGACCTCTACTAAAGGTTTAGTAGAGTAGAGT